AAACCCAATCCATTGCGCCCCCAATTAGCTTGTACTAATTGTTGTTTTAAAGCATCTCCCACCGGAGAGACCAAATTGGATGTGGGAAATATTTCATTTTTACATGTAGGGCACTGATGGCCACTAGGTGCAGTGTTTGTTGGTAAAGCCGATTGTCTAGCATTCAAACAGTCCCAATGAAAGACATCTGTTTAAAAATTAGAAAATTTTTAATAAAGTATGTATGTATCATCTCATCGCATTTTTAGAGTACTTACGATAACACACCAAACGCACACATTCTCCTTCTTCCAAGCCCGTTGAGCACAATGTACAATTTGATACGTAATCACTATCTCTAAGCCATTGCAAATATGATTGTACAATGCACTATTAAAAAAAGTTATTTGTAATTTTTTATATATTTTTTTGTAATTTGGAATACCTACCTTTGGGTGGCTCTGTACCATACAGTACTCACAAACATTTACGCGATGTTCAAAACAAAATTGATTCGTCACTTGACGTTTGGGACATTTGCACAAACCCATTTTTTAAACACTTTTGCTTTATTTCGATTTAATTTCAAGTATTTGAATTAAACTTTCTTCTCTAAATACTGCAATTTAATTAATTTAATTTTTCAAAAATTAATAATTATATTTTTTGCATTTTCTCTTTGTCGTCGTAAAGGAATTTCGTTTGTCAATTTATGTTTTTGACAGGCCACGTCAAGATGATTTAGTTAGGTCGTTTTTACACTACAAAAAATAAAGTTTATGAAACCGTTAAGTTGCAGTTGAAGTTCGTGGTTTGAATTTATCAGTAAAATATTTTCTAAGTATATTTATTAACGAGCCATATTATTATTAATAAAATCCTTAATTTTTTGTTTATTTATGTGAGTAAAAATTAAAAAGCTGCAAGATTATTGATTCGCTCTTAGTAAAATTAATATACATAATACATATGGTTGCATCATGGTTTTATATATACTTTTTAAAGTTTTTATTAAGACCTCATTTTTTTAAAGACTAGTTTATGATTAGTATTTAATCCAACCATTCTTTCATATATTGACATTTTGTAGGTGTAACATCACCACATTTAGAACAATTCTTAATTACCGGACAAATGCCACATGGCATTTGCACTAGACCCGGAGGAGGTAAGGGTGAATTAATGGCTCTATAAACATACACACTATCTGACATGAGAATACGCTCGGCATTACCATCATATACTACTGTTTTCAATATGGTTTCCAAATCATCTTCATCTAAATTTACCTATAAGACAAAATCAATTTTTAATAAAAAGCATACATTTTCCTGCCTGAAATCTCACCTTACTTATACCCAAATCTGATATAAACTTGTGTACCTCTTTAACTGTGCAACAAGACAATTGTTTAAATGCCAAAGGCCCTTCTCCTTTTTTTAAAGCATTATCACGTTTCATTTGTAGGAAACGCAAACATTGTTGATTTAATACATCAACAAATTCCGCTTCAAAATCTTGATCTTGATACCAAGCACCACCGGTAACTGAACGATCTGGTTCGAGGTTATACAACATGTATACCTTCTTTTTGCTGGCCTAAAAATAAGATTACAAATAAATGCTTTGAAAATAATTTTAAATGAATATTTTTAAAAGAAATCTTACATTCACTGATTTTACAGCTTTAATAAGCTTTTTCGTTTCCAAATTTTTTAATATTTTATTCAATTGCGTCATGTTTAAGTTGGATTGAATGCGAATATCTCGTATCCATATTCCCTTATTGCCGCCCTCTTCGATAATACCATAAACAATTTTCTCTTCATTATCGGCATCTTTAGGCAATACACTCTTTTTTGGGTCTTTTGAGCGATAGAATAATTTATCGCCCTTTTTTAGTATTTCAATTGATCCCTGTTTTAATAGTTTATTGAGTCCTTCCACTCGGACTGCAGGTGGAATATCGGGTAAACCTTTTTCTAAATCATCATTATTTGCTCCAGCTGGAATTCCTTGTATTAAAGCCAATAGCTGATGTGAAATATCATCTGATGACATTGTGTTTTTGTTTAAACTAATCTAGATATTATAAATGCATTAAATAAAGATTTTCATTTCAAATTCGTTTCTCCAATTACCTTCCTTTTACCTTATGTTGTTATTAATTCTGTAAAACCGACCTAAAATAGAACATGTTTTTAACAAAATGTCAAAATGAATAAAGAAAACAAATGACGATAAAGAATAACAAGAACAAGCACATTTCGGCATATTAATAAATAAAACCTTATTTTAGAAACAAATTAAATAAAATTTCTCAAAAATGTTAGCAATGAGTGATGAAGCTGGTTCCACTGATTTTCACGAAGTTAACAAAAATAATTTTGAACAAATAAAAAACAAAGCAACCAAGGTAAATATAAACAAATTCAGCACGTACTCTGCAAAACACGGTCAGATGGAAAATTAAACTAATACAGTTGCCAGATTAATTAAGTTGGAATTTATTAAAACGACAATTTATTGGGAATTGTTTTCTATTTATCTGGGATTTTTTCTTCTGCAAAAAGAAACTCCGAAAATATTGTAATTTGTAAGAATTTTTAAATAAAATATATTTTTCAGATTGGTTATGCCGACGGTGTAAACGATGGTCGTGAAAGTGTCTTTCAAAATGGATTTGACCAAGGCTATAAAGATGGCTTGCGGACAAGTTTCGATTTGGAAAAATTTCGGTATTTTTTTAAAAACCTTAACACCGTTAAGATTAAAGATAAAGATTTACTTCAAGAAATGGAGACATACGAGAATCTTCAAATAAAAGAATCAAAATCCCAACTACATTTTAAATATCTTAATCATCTTGATGATAGCTTAGATTTTGTATCACAAATGCAACATGAACATGTCGAGAAAATAATGGAAAAATTCACACAAAAATTGCCCAAGGCAACAGATTTATTGAAAGTACAGTCGCATACAGATTTTATGTAAAAAGTTCTAATTTAAGATCTTTTTGTTTTCGTTTTATTAAATTATAAATGTAATATTATATAATAATGATTTATAAATAAAGACCTTCGGGAGTGCCCTCTTTTTTACGGTACAAAACACTTTCCTTAGATTTTTTAAAGTCCTCGTTAGTAACTTTCATGCGTCGTTCACGCAGAGCCATTAAACCAGCTTCAGTGCATATAGCTTTGATGTCGGCACCAGATAAATCATCCTTGGCCATGATTAATTCGCTGAGATTAACATCTTCGGCCAAGGTCATACGTGATGTATGAATATTGAAAATGCGACGTTTGGTTTTTTCATCGGGCAGGGGAAATTCTATCTTACGATCAATACGACCGGGACGAATAAGAGCAGGATCCAAAGTTTCGATACGGTTTGTGGCCATAATAACCTAATCAAGAAAAGCAATTTGTACTTTTGTTTATTAACAGAATAATTTCTCTTACCTTGACATCGCCTCTGGAATCAAAACCGTCCAATTGATTCAACAATTCCAACATAGTTCTTTGAATTTCTCTCTCACCACCCGAATTGGAATCATAACGTTTTGTACCTACAGCATCGATTTCATCAATGAATACAATGGAAGGAGCATGTTCTTCGGCAACACGGAAAAGTTCCCTGACCAATTTTGGACCATCACCTAAATATTTTTGAATTAATTCAGAGCCTACGACGCGCAAAAACGTAGCAGACGTCTGATTAGCGACTGCCTTGGCCAAAAGAGTTTTGCCAGTTCCGGGCGGTCCATATAAAATAACACCCTTTGGAGGCTTTATACCCATTTCTTCATAATACTCTGGATGTGTTAGAGGTAGCTCTACCGATTCCTTAATTTCTTGAATCTGTGTATCCAAACCACCAATATCAGCATAAGTTTCCTGCGGAGCCTTTTCTAACTTCATTACGGTCACCATGGGATCTGTGTCATCACTGAGTACACCGACTACAGCATGAACTTTGTGATTCAATAACACCGAGCAACCAGGCTCGAGTTGATCTTTATCAACAAATGACAATATGCTAACATAATGTTCTGAACCCACACTGGTCGATACTATGGCATGATTATCATCGATAATTTCTTCCAAATTACCAACCGACATGGGTGTGCCTCTCAAATCGTCGACCTTGGAACGTTCTTCCTCATTTTTCTCATCCTGGGGCTTGAGACGTTCTTGGTTGCGTATGAACTCCTCCTCCATCATCAAATAATCCTTGATGCGTTCCAATTTTAATAGCTTCAAACGGCATCGAGTATGAGGAGTGACTTGGGGCAATTTCATAGCTGCATCAGGACCCTTTGCACGCTTCTTCTTTTTGCCCACACGAGTTGGAATTGGAGGCTCGTACTTCTTCTTTTTGTCTTTGTCATCTTTTTTATCTCCAGATCCCCCTTGAGCCGATTGATTTTGACCCTTGAAGATATTTTTAAGTTGCTATAAATATTCCTCATCTTTAAATCATTTATATATATTTACCATTTTTTCTTTGTGTATTTAAAACAATTATTATTGAAAAATTAGAATTTATTTTACTTTTCTTCTGCTGTTTTTTCTTTTTGCAATGCTAACACAATCGGCTAAAAATTTTGTTTGTCATGGCAAATGCCACGGTTGTCTAAAATAGTAGTAAATACTTTGTCCATATCATTTAACTCAAATCATACACAAACACTTTATTTACAATTGGTACCACAACTACTGACGACAATTTTATGTTGTTGAACTTGAATAAAAAAGTGGGAATTTTAAAAAAATATAATTTATTTTGTTGAAAAATCGAGTGGTTACAACATACTTTACTTCATAATATACAACTAAAACAAAAATATAGAACAATTCGCATAAGCGAAAGCAAGATTCATTACACACCATAAAAAATCGACCATCACTAACTACAACAACCAACATTTGTTCCCAGTGCTGTATAACATAGTAGTCAAATCAAACATTACTTTATTTTTCGAACAATTTTCTTCTGTAGTTTACTGTTGTCATTTTGACATTTGGTGTTTTCTTTTTCTTGTGAACGGAACCTGCCAACGCATAAAAATGGTTTTGCTTGACAATTCATCGGTAATTTTATTGTTTTTCTAAATAAAATAAAGTGATTTAATAAATATTTTTCAATTTCAGTTTATAATACGTTTGCAGAAGCTTGCTAATTCAGCGAAAATAGATTCCTCATTCACTGTCACATTTAAAAGATGTAAGTACCTGCAATGCTACGCAAAAGACCCAATAGGGAAAGTTTCTATGAATACTTTGTTATATCCTACACCACTATGTTGGATGACTTTATGCATATGTACTGAAGTTTCTAAATATGGTCTTATTCTCTGAATCGCATCCAAACTGTATGTAGCCTACTAAATTTGTTCGACATCGTTTCATAATTTCTACACAAAATATCTAGATGCAAGTAGAAATGCCTTGACAGCAGTAAAATTAGTTTTACCTCTCCACATGAACATCTACATAAATACATACCTACATAATCTTAAAATTTTCAAATAATTGGTTCAGCGGTTTAGGTGTAAGTGACCATATAACGCCTTCTATCGGATTTTTAAAACATATTTGAGATTTTGTCCCATTCAGCTTACTGACCGATTGCATCGTATTTGAAAACTTGTTTATGTTTAATTATTTTTCATTAGATAATGGCCATGATAAACCAAAGCCCCGCGAAGGAAAACCTGCCTTACCCGAGCCCGAAGAATACATGTGTCTGGTAAGGGCTCAATCAAAATCGAAAAAGGTATTTACATCTTTTAGCTCCGTTTACAAATTATGATTTTATTAAATTACTCTATATCATTATTCTATTTATTTTATCAAGCTTTCGACGGTGGTTAAACATGAGGATGTTCCCAAAATGATGACCATGTATGCACAATTCATGAAAAGTAATATGGATGGTTTAAAGCGTGTTAAAAAAGTTAAAAGTAAAGCCAAAGCCGCTAAGGGCTAAAAACACAACACATATTCGATTCCCTCTGATTACTTTAAACTAGCATTTAACGTTAATTTTTTTAATATTCTAAAGTCGTATAAAACCATGAAATAAATAAAACAAAGGGTATTTGTTAAAAGAATTTAAAAAAATATCACTAAAACATAATGATGGTATTATTTGAAAATTATTTGCGGCGTTAACACATAATGACATGTATATTTATAATTACAAACTATCTATTAAACGACATTAAGACTTAAATAGAAAAAAGGGTAATATTGAAAACGAAAATTGGGACTTATGGATTCGCTTATACACGTTTTTCAATTAAACCTTTTTTCTTTAATTGACGTAAAGCACATTTTGCAGCAGTGCATTTAGCTATTCGATAGTTCCTACCAATTCCTCTATAAGTACCCTTGCAAAAAACTTCAACAGTAACGCGAACACGACGTCCATCAGCTAGCTTTTCAGGTTTACTGAAATAGAAAAAGCAACAAAATGACAACTCAAATTCAATATAGTATACCAACTCATACTTACCCGAATTTTGCAGTTTCAGGCTCTAATTCTAGTAACTCTCGTATGGGCGATTTTGGCACAGAATTGCTAAATTGTTCTATCTCAGGACGCATCATATTGTAGTAAACTAGCCAGACAGCATCTAGGGACATATTCGAATCTAAGAATATGGCCCCTGCTACAGATTCAAAGACATCGCCTAACGCCTTTGGTACCTCAACATCTTCTGCATCATCACATTCTTCTTCGGACAGCAAATAGTACTTAAATTATATTTTAAATATGTTAGAGTAAGTAGAACGAAATGTTGCAAATATTATGCGATCTCACCTCTTCACTTATACTATGACCATTTTCAGTTTGTATACGCACAAAACGGTCAATAACTTCATTGAGACCAGGAGATAAATGTCTGAAATATTTGTGAAAGCCATGTCTAACTGCTAATGACGCAAATATAGTATTATTAACTAATGCTGAACGTAAATCGGTCAAGGCTCCCGGAGAATGCTGTCTAGGATCTTCATATAAATGACGCGTTATCAAATAATCCAGTACAGCATCCCCCAAAAATTCAAGACGTTGATAACAGTCCGTCAATCTATTTGGTGTATAAGAAGCATGGGTCATGGCTTGTAATAAATATGACCTGTCTCGAAATTTATAACCTAAATTTTTTTCAAATTCATCATATCCCTCTAGTAAAGCGTCCAGCGCTTTTTCAGCATTTGGTGTATAGTGTAACAGTGGAGATTTTGGAGGAGTCCATGAACCATAAACGGTTATCATTCCATCGTTATCGGGTAAAGTGGTACCAGGCTGTCTTACTTTTTCTGAATCATACGGCACACGTTCGTATGGTATAACACGAATGCCTAACCAAGCCATAAAAAGTAGAGCTCCTCTTAGACCACATTCAATAAGATATGCGCCTATTAGAGCTTCAACGCAATCGGCCACAGATTTATCTGTAAATATAAACAAATAAGGGTGCTATATTCTCTATTTTTAAGATGTTGTTAGCTACCTGGTATACTATGTTGCGATACTAGATTATAAGGTATAAAACAAGAAAACTCTAAAGGGACGAAATTAGGATCATCCCAATCGTGATTCGCTGTTGTATTGCCACCGTTTCCTTCCCCTATATCATCCTGGTCCTAAAAAATAAAATTGATTTTACAGTAAACTGTTTTTCAAATTGAAGTTTGCGGCCTCATACCGAAAAATTACAACCCCATTCATCCGCCTTTTTTCGAACCAATTCACAAATTTCAGCATTGGTAAGCTTTTTAATGTTGACTAAATCAACTAAACTCCAATAGTGTGGAGGTATTTTGGCTTCTATTAATGCCTTTTCTAATTCTTTGGGTACATAATAACAAGGTGGCAGCCAATTGTCGCTTGGCTCAAATTTGGTAGCAATCATATATTCACCCAAAAGTTTTCGTCTGCCCAAGCGATACAGATTTAAGTTGGCAACTTGTTTTGAACGCAAATGACTTAATTTTCCCTCGTGCACATTTTCATACGTAATATACAAATACGTGGTAATGGCATATTTTAGGAAGGAGTCACCTATGGTTTCCAGTCTTTCCAAATTTATACCATCATTTGCATTTGACATGGTCAGGGCTTGTAGTATAATACTGGGGCTAGGTCCTGGATGTGTCGACAAATCAGGTTGATAATCAAAACTAAAATTCTCTACAGGAAAATGTTTTAAATTTTTGCTATATTCATTTGAGAAATCTTTCAATTCATTTTCTTTTCTATATTCTTTCCCCTGGCTTTCGAAGTCAATGCGTATTAGTTTCTTTCCTGTCTCTGATAAAATAAGTTCTCCAGAGTCATTGAAATTATCAAATAAATCTCCACATCCATCAATTGTATACAACTCTTCGTGGTGTTGGCTTAACCACTTCAAATTAAATGAGAGCAACGCATCAAGAGGTAGGGCTTGATTAGTTGCTTGACCATTTCCTAGCAGCATCATTAATTCGTCATCGCTTGCGTAAGGTATAAATTGCTTATAAGTATCCAAACACAATTCCAATGTGCTTTTATCTTTGCTGGACTCTTTAGTTTTTGCTGGCAGTTTTATGTTGCGATCATACTCGACTAACATACCCGAATTTCGAATGTCGTAAATTAATTGCTGCGTTGATTTTTTAAATTGTTCAATAGATTGTTTTAAGTTTTCCGAAATTTCATGTTTAATGTCCTTAAAATTATAACCAACTTGAAGATTTTTGGTTTCCTGATAATCTCGATCATTGGCCTTTGTCGCTTGTATGATCGAAAGTTGTTTATTTAATTTTTCTATATCCTGTTCGGTTTCTATTGTTTCAGCTTCATTCTTTGAGGTTATAATTATGTCATCTTCATCGGTGGACTCTGTGTCGTCTATCATTTCAACATCACTGTCGAAACTTGATTCGGCATATGATATATCAGAATCATAGTACGCAAATACAGGTTCTTGTTTCTTTGCTTTAGGTTTTTTTTGAGGCAAATCTTCTTTTTCATCCAACTGTATGTCGGTAAAGGTAGGAGATGTGGCCCTAGCTGCCTTCTCACCTAAAAATTTTAGAAATGAGAAATATGAGATTTATCCCCAAAAAATACGAAAATAGATTATTAGACTAATCCAAGGAAAGTTTTATTGATCATATAACATAACATCACAACAAAAACATGGTAATGATGTTTTTTCAATGACTAATACATACTGTCTGCATTACTTAGAATGAGTCTAGTAATACCTTACAAATAATATATTATGTATGTACTTACTTTTCAGCCTTGATTATTGTTTTCGAACTTTGTTTTTAACACAAACGAAAAAAATACACTTTTGTGAAAACTAATAATAGGAGCAGTGGACGTATCCTCGTATACAATTTTTTCCCCAGAAACAAAACTACTTACTTAACTCCCTATTTGCAGGCGATCGTAGTAAGTAGTTACCTAACTCCCTATTTGTAAGCGAGCGTGGTAAGTACTTGCCTCCAATGTCATCCCCGTGTTAAAATAATGACATAAAATGCTATTGTGTAAGTAAATTTTAGCATTTTGAACCCTTAATTTTTAATGTAAGTTTCTGCTGGGATACATGTCTACCAAATTTTTTAGATGTATGTATTATGATAGTTATGTTTACTTACTAATTTTATAGGACACTGGAATTAAATCATCCAAAACATCATCATAGTCCTCATCATCCGTATCGGAGGTGTAACATCGATAATCCAAATTGTTAGCCATTTCATTTGACCATGTTCCTATTTCGACAAAATCTGCGCCTTCTTCGTCTGCATTGCATTTTTCATCCATTGATGCCTTATCCTGTTTGTCCGATTTTAATAAATCCTCGATATTTTCGGCATCATGTGGTAAAGCAGTTTTACCTTTATCTTTTTGTTCAGAATTTTCTCCTTTTGATAGTTCTTCATCATTGTCATTATCATCATCAGTATTTTTAAGTTTGTTGGCCTTTGTTTTTTTCAAAACATCACTTAAGCTCCATCCAAAATCCAACATAGGCCACTCTTTATCTTCATCCAATTCAATTTTTCCTAAACCCATATCTTTTACAACTTTCTTGCGTATATCATCAGCCAAAAGCAGACCATTTATTCTATAAAGAATGCACGGTAGGCAAACTGCAGTACGCCACAGTGATGCTGGAAATGGATGCACAGTACACAGCTCTGGTACAAGAATTTGCTTCAACTCCAAATTTTCACGCTTAGCTCGTTTAGTTGCTTCAGAACTTGTTGGCAAAGCAACACCCTTACGATTGACATAACGTGGTGTTAGGAAATTCAATCTAGCACTGGTGTGGTCTACATCTAACAATGGTTGTTTTGGATGTATTTTCAACCCGTATTTTAGATAATAATAATGCATAAATGTGCGATATTTCTTGCTGGGAAACATGCTTAAGGGAGACAATTGTTGACATATTTCGGCCACATAGAAATAGTGAGGTTGGTCTTGATTGCGATACCAGGGCATTACAACAGCATCGTTGAATTTATCGGCAGAGAATTCTTTAGCATGACGTTCTTCTTCGGGCACTGGGGTAGGCATCATATTGGCATTCTGTTCTATAAGCTGTAAAAATTGCCAATCTATAGTCTTGTCATCATTTGTTGTTTTGACCGTGGGCACTATGAATACACAGTTTTCGGTCGACTCTGGATCGAAAAGCATTAAAAACTTTTTCAAACGCAATACTTTTGTAAATGTGTAGTTGATAAATGTGTTTATGCAAGAAATTTGCTTCTCCGTTAATATCACACGTTTAGGATGTAAAACCAAAGAAACCTTAACTTCGCCCGAACGTGTAAATATGGGAAATGAACTAACTTTTGGTATTTTCTTTAAAGTTAAAATGCCGAAACCTTGCAGGGCATCTTCTGGCGGGTATATTTTGCGGCCTCTGGTATTTTGTTCCTCCGGTATAGGACATTGTAAAGTTAGATCCAATAAATACAAGTAACATGGTACACCAGCAATAGGTCGACAATCGCAAAACTCTGAGGCAATCTTGAATTATTACGAAATAATACCTAAACTCTTATTTTTTTTGTTTATGAAAAGAAAAACTTACCCTTTTATAATAGTATTGTCTTCTT